GGCTTTGTTAGGTTGTAGCACTGATATTTACCTTCATTTTAAAACCTTCCCGAGCATTCTAACATTTAAAATGGCGGAGAAATCTTTGACACAGTCAAAGAAAACGAAAAAAAACAGTTTCGAGAAAAACACAAAACAATTTTTTCTTTGATTATCGCGATTTTTTCGTTTAAAAATGGTAGTGAATAAACAAGAAGGCAGTTTATTATAGGTTATCGACTATGGCGAATCGTATGAGCACATGGAGAGATATGTGTGACGTAGTTTTTTTTACGTGTACGCGTTGGTCTCACGAAAAACCATCAAAAACCACTGGTTTTTGAAAAAATCTATAAAATTACTTGAATTTAATATGTATAATGAAACTAGTGTTTTGAATCAGATATTACGAAACAAAACATTCAATTTTCTGTTGCCGAGTAGGCAAAAGAAAATTAATGACTTATTCTTGTGGTTATTGTATAAAAAAACATACAACGAAATTCGCGGGTTCATGCTCAGTCATCACCACCTGGCTCGTAAGCATCATCCTCTTCAGTTTCACCTTCTTCACTCTCTATTGATTTCAATAACTGAAGTTTTCGAAAAAAAACATTTTTGATGTAGGGGTCTTCAGAAAAGCCGTTGTAAAACCCTCAAAACCCATCGAAAAACCAATAAATTATAGTGCATTCGAAAGTAGAGATAATGGGCTATCTTACTATGTATAAATCTAAAAACCGATATTTTTGTCGAAAATTCCTTTTTTTTTAGGGGTGGGGGGCCCTTAACAGAAGGATTTTTGTTTTAAATGTACATCTGTTACCAACACATTAGTTGCTTTAACGCAATCAGTTTTTATTTTATTATTAACAAGACTAAGTCAACATTTATATTTTTTTAAGGGAAAACATGAAGAATTTAGTCTTGCATTTGCTGGTATAACTGTTCATGATATGTTCAATTGGTTAAAAGTACTTATTTTATTATCAATTGAAATAATTTCGAGTAAATAAAGATTTTTGTTTTTGAATATATTTTAATTGAAATAAATTTAGATATGATATATCATTTAACTAATTCAATAACAAAATCAATAAATTTTAAAAAAAATACAAATTCTAATTCAGAATTTCTTACTGTTATAAGAAAACCATTAACTGAACGAATTGTTCAAGTATGTTATTTAAAATAAAGTTTTCTAATAAAGATGAACTGTTGTTTTTTATTAGCTTGATAATGAAGCAATTGAAAGTATAGCATTGGGTAATGCTAGTCCAAATATATCTTTACTAAAACGATATTGTTCATTTTAAAAGTGTGTGATTTTAATCGATTATTAATCTAATAGAATGGAACTTAATCCGAGTTTTCTTGTAATTTGTTTATCTTTGTTTATTGATATTTCTTGGAAAAAAATGATTAGCATAACACAGTACAGTTTTCGTGTATTCGACAGTCGATCAAAATTGTATGTTTATATATTATAAAATTTTTTTCTTTTTGGAGATGTTTCGTTCCAGAATCAGTTTCACTTGAGCAGTCCAGTCCGTTTTCGTCGAAGACGGATAGCCACTACGAAGATTTGGTGGAGACTTATTCATTGTTGGTTGTTCTTTTCTCTTTTGTCCAGATGTAGTCTTGGTTCCATTATCGGATAAAGTTTGATTCGGCCGATTAAGTGACGACAAAGTACTTGATGAAACAGCATTGGACGCTTCCTGTAGTATTGACATCGAGTCTGCTGTATGCATGAGACTAATGTCAGGTACATCAGGAACTTGATTGGCCTATGAACAGATAATAGATTATTGAACCATGTGAGTCAGTTTCTGCAATAGAATTTACTCACAATGTTGAATACGGAAGTGGACTTCGTATGGATTGTCATCAAGTTCTTATGATGGAATAATATCAGGAGAAACATTGAGGCTCTTTTCCATCCAAGACTACTGATAATCGATGCATAACCTTTAAGCCAGCTAAATAGTTGTTCTGCTGCTTGAGTATTTATGTTTACAAGAACTGAAAGCACAGTAAGTGTAACAAAAAAAACTCAAGCAGCAGAACAACTATTTAGCTGGCTTAAAGGTTATGCATCGATTATCAGTAGTCTTGGATGGAAAAGAGCCTCAATGTTTCTCCTGATATTATTCCATCATAAGAACTTGATGACAATCCATACGAAGTCCACTTCCGTATTCAACATTGTGAGTAAATTCTATTGCAGAAACTGACTCACATGGTTCAATAATCTATTATCTGTTCATAGGCCAATCAAGTTCCTGATGTACCTGACATTAGTCTCATGCATACAGCAGACTCGATGTCAATACTACAGGAAGCGTCCAATGCTGTTTCATCAAGTACTTTGTCGTCACTTAATCGGCCGAATCAAACTTTATCCGATAATGGAACCAAGACTACATCTGGACAAAAGAGAAAAGAACAACCAACAATGAATAAGTCTCCACCAAATCTTCGTAGTGGCTATCCGTCTTCGACGAAAACGGACTGGACTGCTCAAGTGAAACTGATTCTGGAACGAAACATCTCCAAAAAGAAAAAAATTTTATAATATATAAACATACAATTTTGATCGACTGTCGAATACACGAAAACTGTACTGTGTTATGCTAATCATTTTTTTCCAAGAAATATCAATAAACAAAGATAAACAAATTACAAGAAAACTCGGATTAAGTTCCATTCTATTAGATTAATAATCGATTAAAATCACACACTTTTAAAATGAACAATATCGTTTTAGTAAAGATATATTTGGACTAGCATTACCCAATGCTATACTTTCAATTGCTTCATTATCAAGCTAATAAAAAACAACAGTTCATCTTTATTAGAAAACTTTATTTTAAATAACATACTTGAACAATTCGTTCAGTTAATGGTTTTCTTATAACAGTAAGAAATTCTGAATTAGAATTTGTATTTTTTTTAAAATTTATTGATTTTGTTATTGAATTAGTTAAATGATATATCATATCTAAATTTATTTCAATTAAAATATATTCAAAAACAAAAATCTTTATTTACTCGAAATTATTTCAATTGATAATAAAATAAGTACTTTTAACCAATTGAACATATCATGAACAGTTATACCAGCAAATGCAAGACTAAATTCTTCATGTTTTCCCTTAAAAAAATATAAATGTTGACTTAGTCTTGTTAATAATAAAATAAAAACTGATTGCGTTAAAGCAACTAATGTGTTGGTAACAGATGTACATTTAAAACAAAAATCCTTCTGTTAAGGGCCCCCCACCCCTAAAAAAAAAGGAATTTTCGACAAAAATATCGGTTTTTAGATTTATACATAGTAAGATAGCCCATTATCTCTACTTTCGAATGCACTATAATTTATTGGTTTTTCGATGGGTTTTGAGGGTTTTACAACGGCTTTTCTGAAGACCCCTACATCAAAAATGTTTTTTTTCGAAAACTTCAGTTATTGAAATCAATAGAGAGTGAAGAAGGTGAAACTGAAGAGGATGATGCTTACGAGCCAGGTGGTGATGACTGAGCATGAACCCGCGAATTTCGTTGTATGTTTTTTTATACAATAACCACAAGAATAAGTCATTAATTTTCTTTTGCCTACTCGGCAACAGAAAATTGAATGTTTTGTTTCGTAATATCTGATTCAAAACACTAGTTTCATTATACATATTAAATTCAAGTAATTTTATAGATTTTTTCAAAAACCAGTGGTTTTTGATGGTTTTTCGTGAGACCAACGCGTACACGTAAAAAAAACTACGTCACACATATCTCTCCATGTGCTCATACGATTCGCCATAGTCGATAACCTATAATAAACTGCCTTCTTGTTTATTCACTACCATTTTTAAACGAAAAAATCGCGATAATCAAAGAAAAAATTGTTTTGTGTTTTTCTCGAAACTGTTTTTTTTCGTTTTCTTTGACTGTGTCAAAGATTTCTCCGCCATTTTAAATGTTAGAATGCTCGGGAAGGTTTTAAAATGAAGGTAAATATCAGTGCTACAACCTAACAAAGCC